AAAAAAAAATAAATTAAATTGATAAACCATTAGCCATGCTAATGAAGAGAAGGAGAACGAAAACTCAAATCACTAACATCCATGATAAAAAAAGGAAATAACATGATGGACACTACAGAAATACATAAGACACTTGGAAATTACTTGGAAAATTTGTACTCCAGTAAAATAGAAAATACCAAAGACATCAACGAATTTCTAGAGGCATATGATATACTAAATCAGAATGACATACACAATTTAAACAGATCCATTTCAAGCAAGGAAACAGAGGATACCATCGGAAGCCTACCAACCAAGAAAAGCCCAGGACTAGATGGACACACAGCTGAGTTCTACAAGACCTTTAAAGAATGACTAACACCAATACTCCTCAAATTATCTCATGAAATAGAAAAAGAGGGAGCACTTCCAAACACATTCTATGAAACCAATATCACCCTGATTCCAAAACCAGACAAAGACACATCAAAAAAAAAAGAAAAGAAAGAAAACTTCAGACCAATATCTACAATGAATATAGATGCAAAAAATTTCAATAAAATTCTGGCAAATCGAATACAAAAACATATCTGAAATATAGTCACCATCCCAGAGATGGGAGGTAGGTTAAACATAGGAAATCAATAGATGTAATTCATCACATCAATAGACTCAAAGATAAAAATCCTAGGATCATCTTAATAGATGCAGAGAAAGAATTTTACAAAATACAGCACCCCTTCATGTTCAAAATACTAGAAAAACTATGGATATCAGGAACACATCTCAACACTGTAAAAGCTATCCATGTTAAGCCCCAGGCCAACATCATTCTAAAAGGAGAAAAATTGAAAGCATTCCCTTTAAAAAAAATGGGAACAGGACAGGGATGCCCTCTTTCAACGCTTCTATTTAACAGAGTTCTTGAAACTCTAGCCAGAACAATTAGACAAACAAAAGAAATTAAAGGGATACAGATAGGGAAAGAAGAACTCAAATCATCACTATGTGCTGACAATATGATTCCATAACTAGAAGAACTAAAAAATTCCCCCAGAAATCTTATAGAATAAATGAATTCAGCAAAATAGCAGGATATAAAATTAACACCCATAAATCAAAGACATTTCTGTTCATCATTGACAAATTCTCAGAAAAGAGAAACTAGGAAAATCACCTCATTTACAATAGCCTCAAAAAAAAAAAAAAACTTGGGAATCAATGAAAGACCTCTACAATGAAAACCATAGAATGCTAAAGAAAGAAATTATAGAAGATCTTAGAAGATGGGAAGATCTACCTTGTTCTTGGATAGGCAGAATTAATATTGTCAAAATGACCCTACTACCAAAAGCACTGTACATTGATTCAGTGCAATCCCAATCAAAATCCCAATAACATTTCTCATAGAAATAGAAAAAGTAACCATGAAATCCATCTGGAAAAATAAGAGATGCAGAATAGCCAAAGCAGTCCTTAGCAAGAAGAGCTTGGAAGCAGGTGGCATCATTATACCAGGTCTTTCCAGTGCCTCACACCTGCCAGGCAAGCACCCTACCACTGAGCCACAACCCCAGCCCCATCTGCCCAACATTTCTACGTTGGTACTGAGCACCACAATAAGAAAAATGYGACAGGTCAGTAAGTAGGTAGGTTGATGATAGGTATTTAGATAGACTTAGGTGATAGATAAATGGCATATAGTTTAGAAAGGAAGAYATAAATCTGTCTTTAGTCATAGACAATATCATCATTTACTCAGACTTTTCCAAGGGATATATTTAAAAATAAGTACACCTAATATGGATTTTGCAAGGCCACAGGATAAGTTCAATCTACAAGAAGCGATAGCATATTTATGAGAGCAAGAATTTTCAAATACAATTTATATACCCTTGTACCTATATATTTATATATATAAATTTCATTTGCAAACTGATATTTTAATGTTACTGCAGGTCATATGTATATACACACACATGCATTATGTATATAATATACACAAAGAACTTGCAATAACATTAAAAGCTACCTGAAATAGTGGTCAAATCCACAGAGAGGGAAATAGAATGGTGTTTACCGAGGGCTGGGACGATAGAAGAATAGGGAGTTAGTGCTTAATGGGGACAGAGTTTCAGCTCGGGAGGATAAAGTACTGGAGTTAGATGGATGTGACAGCAGAATGAACCGATCATACCTAATGGCACTGCACTCTACATTGGAAAATGGTTCAAATACTTAGGAATGGATTTAACAAAAGATAAACAAGACTTCCACACTTGAAACTTCAGATCATCGCATAAAGAAAAGGAAACCTGAACACATGGAAACACCTTCAGAGACTGGAACCTCGAGATGTTAAGGTGACAGTTCTCCCCACAGTGCCATACCACCCCAATAAAATGCTAGTAAGATCTCTTTTTTATTTTTTATTTTTATGTGGTGCTGAGAATCGAACCCAGTGCTAGTAAGATTTTTTCATAAATTATTTTTAATTTCACAGGGAAGTAAAACTATATAATGAGAAAGGAGTTGCCCCCAAATGAGTAAAATTAACTTCACTGGTAAAGAACACACCGACACCACACACCCCCAGATGTTATATCCTGGAAGGAWAAAGCCACAAAAGGCCAAGGAATGATTCCGGGTTACAAGACGCTAAACCAGCATGGTTAATGTCCTATGCTAGGGAGGAAATCTGAAGAATATTAGGGGGATAATTGGAGAAAGTAGAATATGAAGGGAATATATTCTGAACTTGAAATGTTGAGTTATAAGGCAACACACACTCAAGTATTAGGGGCAACTTTTATTCACTAGGGGATTCAAGGAGAGTTACATTTTCCAAAAAACAGAACCTATCATGACAAGGTAGCACTGAGAAAGAAAATGAGTCTGGCTTCTCTCTTGCTTCAACCTCTGTTGGAACTGAATTGAACTTGATAAAGCGGATGGCCTGATGATTTTAACATCAAACGTGGAGTGCCGGTCTTTTGCCTGGGTCCACTTACCAGCCATGAGGCAGTTTGGTTTCACTTTTAATCACTGGTACGACAGTGGGAAGTTTCAACTGTTGTTGATAGTGCTACTTTTCTGTAATTAAAGATGAAGTTTGAATTCTGCTTATGACAGTTTCCCCCAAAATAGCAAGGGAAGGAGCTGGAGGTAGAAGATGTCCAAGTTCTGTTTAAATGCTCTGGGTACGAGCAAGGCCTTTGAA